AAAATCTTAAAAAAAAAAAAAAAAACACCAGGGAGATGGTAGCAAATATGACAATGTCCCCGGACCCGCAGGGCCACTGATATACTCCAGGGCAGCGTAAGTAGAACTGTGACAGAGGACACCCAAGTAGCTGGGGGCCCGGGGAAAGGATAAAAGGTGCTCCTGGCAGAGGGTGCAGCACGGACAAAGGCCAGGGGTCAGGAAACGACATGATGCATTTGAGGAACTGAAAGAGGTGCAGTGGGTGAAGAGGGTAGTGGTTCCAGCAGTCTGGAGGTGGAGAGGCCAGACCCCAAGGGACTGGAAGGCTGTCATGAGGAGCATAGACTTTATCTCAGGGCACTGAGGGGAGGGATATGAGCAGGAGGGTACTCCAATATAACTGGAAAGCTCTGTCTGGCTGCCACGTGGAATATGGATGGGAGGGGCTGAGACAGGGGCCAGGAGCCCAGGGAGGCCTAGACCAGGACAGGAAATAAGTCTTTTTTTTTTTTAAGATTTTATCTATTTCTTTGATAGAGAGGGAGAGAGAGAGTGCAAACAGAGGAGCAGCAGAGGGAGAGGGAGAAGCAGGCTCCCCATTGAGCAGAGAGCCCGATGCGGGGCTCGATGCCAGGACCCTGGGATCATGACCTGAGCTGAAGGTAGACTCTTAACTGACTGAGCCACCCAGGCCCCCAGGAAGTAACATTCTGAGACGATTAAAAAGTGTAGTAACAGCCAGCACCCATGTATCATTCATTCCTGTGCCAGGCACTCCCCCAAACTTTTCATTTGTTTGTCTTAGTTTCATACTTTTTATAACAGCTTGGTTTCGTTAAGATTTCATTCACATCCCATGTAACTCACCCACTTAAAGTATACATACAGTTTAGTGCTTTTTGGCCTAATCACAGAGTTGTGCAGACATTATCCCAATTTAGAACATTTTCATCACCCCCAGAAGAAATCCCTAGGAGTCACCCCCTCCCCATTTTTCTTCTCAACCCCTCCCCCAGTGGGCAAATACTCCTCTACTTTCTGTTTGTATGGATTTGCCTGTTCTGGACATTTCACATAAATGGAATCCTACACTATATGGTTCCTTGTGCCTGGTTTCTTTCGCTTGGCAAAGAACGTTTTTTCAAGGTGTATCCATGTTGTAGCATGTATCAATATGTCCCTCTTTTCTATTGCTGGATACTGTTATGTACATTGTATGGATAGACCACATTTTATTTATCCATGAGGTTGAGGGACATTGGATCGTTTTCATTTGGGGCTATTATGAATAACGCCTCTGTGGATTTTCATGTACAAGTTTCTGTGTGAACATATGTTTTCATTTCTCTTGGTCACATACCTAGGAGTGGAAAGGTTGAGTCATATGATAACTCCATGTTTATCCTTTTGAGGAACTACCAGACTATTTTCCAAAGCAGCTTCATCATTCAACACACCCATCAGTAGTGTATGAGGGTTTCAATTTCTCCACATGTGCACCAACATTTAATGTCTGTCTTTTTTATCACCCATTCTAGTCGGTGTCAAGTTGTACCTCGTGGTGGTTTTGATTTGCATTTCCCCGATGACCAGTGATGTTGAGTATCCTTTCGCATATTTATTGGCCATTTGTGTATCTTCCTTGGAGAAGACTCTATTCAGATATTTTGCCCAATTTTTAATTGGGTTATTTATCTTTTTATTTCTGAGTTGTAGGAGTTCTTTATATATTCTGAATACAAGTCCCTTATCAGATGTATGATTTACAAAAGTTTCCTCCCATTCTACGGATTATCTTTTCACTTTCTTGATGGTGTCTTTTTTTTTTTTTTTTAATTCCATTTATTTGACAGAGAGAGAGATAGCGAGAGCAGGAGCACAAGCAGGGGGAGTAGGAGAGAGAGAAGCAGGCTTCCCGCTGAGCAGGGAGCCCAATGCGGGGCTTGATCCCAGGACCCTGGGATCACGACCCGAGCCGAAGGCAGACGCTTAACGACTGAGCCACCCAGGCGCCCCTTAATGGTGTCCTTGAAGCACACAAGTTTTTAATTTTGATGATGTCAGTGTGTCTATGTTTTCTTTTGTTGCTTGTGTTTTTCATATCATAGCTAGGAAACTATTGCCTAATCCAAAGTTACAAAGATTTATACCTATGTTTTTTTCTAAGATGTTTTATGGTTTTAGCTCTTACATTTAGGTCTTTGATCATTTTTTTTTTTTTGCCTTTCATTTATTTATTTATTTTTTTTGTTTTTTTTTTTATTCTTATGTTAATCCCCAGGTCTTTGATCATTTTTGAGTTAATTTTCATATATGGTGTGAGGTAGGGATCCAACTTCATTCTTTTTACAGATGGATATCCAGTTGCCCCAGCACCATTTGTTGAAAAGACTATTCTTTCCCCCATTGAATTGTCCTGGCACACTTGCCAAAAATCAACTGACCACATTAAACCTTTAGATACATTATTTAAATCTACATTTAAATCTATTCAAAATAACAAATGGCATCATTCGTTAAGCACGGCCTTAGCAGCTGACAGCACAAGATATTCCAGGCTCATCTTGTCCTTTCTCTGCCCCAGGCTGGCAATCAGCCCTTTCTCGAAGGAGCTCGGGTTCACTTATCACAAGAATGATATTTAGAGGCTGTCTCAGTCAGCTCGGGTTGCTATAACAAAATACCATAGACTGGTGGCTTAAACAATGGATGCTTGTTTCTCATAGATCTGGAGACTGAGAAGTCCAAGATAAGGTATCAGTAGATTTGGCCTCTGGTGAGGACCCTCTTCCTGGATTGCAGACAGCTGTCTTCTTGCTGTGCCCTCACCTGGTGGAAAGAGAGCTCTGGTCTCTTTCTCTTCTTCTTCTTCTTTTTTTTTTTAAATTTATTTTATTTATTTATTTGAGATAGAGGGGGTAGAAGGGGAGGGGCAGAGGGAGAAGGAGAGAGAGAGTCTCAAGTTGACTCCTTGCTGAGCATGGAGCCCAACTTGGGGCTTGATCCCACGACCCTGAGATCATGACCTGAGCCGAAGTCAAGAGTCAGATGCTTAACTGACCAAGCCACCTAGGTGCCCCTCTTCCTCTTCTTGTAAGGACACTAACCCCATCATGGGGCCCCCACCTTCATGACTCATCAAAACCTAATTACCTCCCAAAGGCCCCATCTCCAAATACCATCACATTGGAGGTTAGGGCTTTAGCATATGAATTTGATGGGGGGTGGTGATAAACATTTAGTCCATAGCAGAGACCACAATTAATAATTTTTTTATATCATCATTTGCATACACCCAAACATTAACATCCTTTGCCAGTGTTTAGAACAAAGCAAGAAATGTGTTGGTTGTGAACTTTAAAATGGATGTGTATGTGTGGGGACACAGACTCATTCAAAATTCTTTGGGAGGGGACATACCAAGATGATGTTCAAAATCTTTAATGCCCACTTAGACCGGGCCCAGCCCTTCAGAAGTAAGCCTGGGGGACCAATCCCAGCACTGGGCAACCTTTGGGCAGCTCATGTTTTCCTCTGTACCTCAGTTTCCTCCAAGACCATAGATGGGGGGCATAGGCCAGTGTGATGCCAGGCTTTAACCCTTTAGTTGCTGGAGAGTGGAGAAGTCTGGGGAGTGCGGGGGGGGCAGGCGTTGGAGGCAGGTTGTTTATAAACTGGAATGAAGGTATTGCCCCACCACAGGGGACCTGGGGGTGGATTTGGGGGTTCGTGGCACCCTCTAGGACCCAGCCCCTGGAGCCTGGGGGTGCCAGCCCACAAGTCCACTGACCTGCCTCTCTGCCCTTCTTTGCCCACAGGTTATGAGGTGACAGTGCTGGTGCGGGACGCCTCCAGGCTGCCCCCAGAAGTGCCCAAGCCAGCCCACGTGGTAGTGGGTGACGTTCTGCGTGCGGCCGATGTAGACAAGACCGTGGCTGGGCAGGATGCCATCATTGTGCTGCTGGGCACCCGCAATGACCTCAGTACTGAGCCCCCCCTCTGCCCACGGCCCACCCCTGGGCCTCGGCCCCCAGCGCCACCCCCGCCCCCAGCCCCACCCCTGCCACCCCAGCCACCACCGCCGCCTGCTAGTGACAGCCACTCTCTGTCCCCTCTAAGGTCCTACCACAGTTATGTCCGAGGGCGCCCGGAACATTGTGGCGGCCATGAAGGCCCATGGCGTGGACAAGGTCGTGGCCTGCACCTCGGGTGGGTGGCGGGGTCATAGGGATGGGGCTGAAGGGTGGGGGGTAGGTACTGGACCGGCAGCCAAGGGGCTTCTGCAAGGTGGCATTGGAGCCATCCCAAGTTCCTGTGCATTTATTGAGCACTAACTGTGTGCATGAACCTTGCTGGGTGATGCTGGGGACACAGTGGTGACCAGTACAGCCCTGGGCCCTGTACTCATGGGTCTCATACATGGGAGGGAAGTGGTGAATAGACCCATCATTGCACAGTGATAGGCCAGAGTGGTCGGGGCCAAGATGGAGGGACACAGAGGGATCAGGGCCAGAACAGGAGAAGCCCCGAGGTGGCACCTGACCCAGTCTGAGAGAGGGGCAGGGAGAGCCTCCTGCAGGAACGGACAGAGCCAGGCATACACAGACTAGGTCTCTACCCTCACAGAGCTCCCCATTTTCGAGGAGAGCCACATTAAACAATTGGTTGCCTCGAATAATCCAAAACACAGGGTACAGGGTTCATAACCGGAACCGTTAACGCGAACAGCATTTACTGAGCGCTTACCGTGTGTTAGGCACCATCTGAGTGGCTTAGGATGAATGCCACTTAATCCTCACCAAGTTCTGAGTATTTATGCTCATAGCACACAGTAGGTGCTCAGTTAATAGTAGCTGTTCTTATGGAAGGCAGTGGAGGCACAGGGAGGCCCACCAGCTGACCTGAGTTCACACGGCTCATGGCTGGTTTCCACCGCCTCCATGCCTTGCCTCTGGGTTCCATCCTCGCCAGGAAGGGAAGCGACCTGAGGGAGGGCAGAGGGACCAGCAGTTGTGAAGGCTCTGAGGTGGGAGCGTGGCTGGAGCAGAGTGTGTGAAAGGGAGAGTGTTGGGCGCTGCGGTCAGGGGGCTGATGGCGCCAGATGCGGTGGGGCCTCGTGGGCTCTGATGGGGACTCTGCTTTCACCCCGAGTGATACGGAGCCGCAGCTGAGCTCTGACCCTCTGGGTGTGCACAGTCCCCATCTGGCTGCGTGTGGGGACAGAGGTGGGCAGACCAGGGAGGAGGCTGCTCCCACGGGCCAGGTAGGAGGTAACTGGACAGGAGCAGGTGGGGAGCGAAGTGGTCAGCCCTTGTGTGGCCGTCAGAAAGACAGGAGGCTGGGACAATTGGAAGGCCATGGAGAGCCCCTGTAGGGTTTTGTCCTGGGATAAGGCCAGCAGGCTGTGTGGCCTGGCCAGTCTGTCCTCAAGCTTTGGCTCACTCTGCCCTATGTCCCCCCCCACAGCCTTCCTTCTGTGGGACCCGACCAAGGTGCCCCCACGACTGCAGGATGTGACCAATGACCACATCCGGATGCACAAGGTGCTGCAGGAATCGGGCCTGAAGTACGTGGCCGTGATGCCACCACACATAGGTGAGTGGGGCTGGGACCTGGCGGTAGGGTCGCCACCAGCCTGCGCCCTCCTATCCGCTGGGGAGATCTGCCAGGCCTTCCCTGGACAGTGTAAAATTGCAGACCTTCCCCTTACACTTTCTGTTCTCTCTCTTGCTTGATTTTATCTCCTTTCTAACACCCTTCCGGCTATCTCTGTTGAACCAACCACCCCAAATTTAGAAATGTAAAACAACCACCATTATTATTATTATTATTATTATTATTATTATTATTAGTGAGTTCCTGG